GAGTGTTCACACACACACAGACACACAGACATCCAGAAACACGGACACAGGGACACAGAGATGCACAGACTCATGGACACACGGGCACACAGACAGATGGATACAGGGACACACGAACACATGGACACAATCAAAGACAAACACACAGACACACAGACACAAGGACACAGAGACACATGGATACACAGACACATAGACACACGGACAGTCGGGCGCATGGACACACATACAGGACTCTCCAAACCAGTGCACAGGTGCTGACCCTGAGCTGCATCAGATTGGTTTCGTGGGCTGTCCTGCCTGGCTTCTTCACACACCTTTTATTGAGAGCTGTTCTCTTGTTTATCCATCCCTCTTCTCCATCCCATGGTCCTTCAGAAATATCCTGATTCTCTTCTGTGTCCAACCTTGCAGAACCATCTCATACCTCTCCTTTACTACTACCGAAGTCAGTCCTTAGCCCTTCTATCTTTTCTTCTTGTGTTGTTGCGCTCTCCCTGCCAACCTCCTGTTCTCCAGTGACTGCACAGTTCTTCCTGGCATTCACGCATTCTTCTCTCCACAAACACTTAACGGACACTTCCATTCCTGCTTATCTTGAAATCCTCGCGCTACTTTTTTTCTCATCAAGTCTGTACATTCCTGACTATTTGTGAGGGATTTGTACTGTGCAGCAGGGCATTGAAGGATTTAAGTCTCATCCTTTTTCTGTCCCTAACAGTGGCTCCAGGCAGAGCTCAAGTTCAGCAGGAGCCATTCCTGGAGACCACTGAGGGCACCGGCATCAACATCACCTGCTCACACCACAAAATTCAGACCAACGAATATATCTACTGGTACCGTCAGCTGCCGGGCCGAGGACCCGAACTCCTCGCACTCACTATGAAAGAGTCCAAAGAGCTGCCGGCCATTGCAGGACAGCTGAGGGTGTCGGCAGATCGGCGTTCGAGCGCGCTGTGGCTCGGCCGGCCCCGGCGCGGGGACGCGGCCGTGTATTACTGCGCGCTGGGGGCCACGGGCAGAGGAGCCGGGGCTGCGGCCGGGCACGAACCGCCGCGGGCGGGGCCAGCAGGGGGCGCTGCCGCTCGGAATGTACACACAAGTGGCAAGGGAACTGGCTCCTGTCATTGCCAGGTCACTTTTGGTTACCTTCAGCCAAGCATGGTGACTGGATGCTGGAGCAAAGCAAATGTCACTTCTGTCTTCAGAAAAGGAAAAAGGAGAACCCAGTGAGCTACAGCCTTCTCAGCCTCACCTTAGCCCCTTAGAAAGTGCTGGAGCAGCTAGTCCTGGAAAGCTCTCCTAATCAAGGCATGTCACCAGGAGGGGATCAGGATGGCTTCACCAAGAGGAAGTTATGCCTGATCTTCTTGACAAAGTTCTGTGGTGATGTGACAGGCTCAGGAGAAGAGGAAAGAATGGTGGCTCTTCTCTACCTAGAGGTGAACAAGGCCTTTGACACTTTTGTGTGGATTCCTGTAGGAGTGTCACAGAGAAGCTGTTGATGTTGGATAAGCAGACAGTGAGGTAGAATGAAAACTGACACAGGCACAGGGATCAATGTTCAGCAGCACAAAATAAAGTTGGAGACCGGTGACTGGTGGTGCATCTAAATGGTTAGGGCTTGATGGGTCCTGTTTTATGTGGGTGATGGGACAGAGTGGACCCTCAGCAGGTTTGCACACAACACCAAACTGGGAAGAGAGGCTTATGCATCAGAGAGTCAGGCCAGCATCCAGAAGGACCTCAGCAAACAGGAGAAATGGGCTGATGGGAAACTCATCCAATTGAACAAGGGAAAGTGCAAATTCCCTTGTGTCAAAGAAGTCCAACAGTATCCCCAGGTCCACTGGACCAGGTGTTGCCAGGAGCTCAAGAGAGGTGACTGCTCCCCTTTATGCAGCACTGGGGGGGGACACAGCTGCAGTGGGCTCCTCTGCCACCCTTCCTCTGTGACCATATTAGTGACAAAAGGGAACAGTAAGAGAGTGATAAGGTGAGTGGAAAATTCTCTGTCCTACCAGGCTCAAAGAGTTGTGGCCATTGCTTCAAACTGGTAGACAACTCTGGGGTCTCTCAGGGATCAGCAGTAGGACTACTAGTGTTGCATGTTGCCATGAATGTCATGAATAGTGGGAAGAAGGACACTGTTCACAAGACTGGAGGTGACATGGAACAACAACAGGCAGTGAACTGGCCTCTGTTGCCCAAGTTATTCCGAGAAAATCCTGGAAGCTCCTGTGCAAAGGAAACAGGGAATACAGACTAGACTCTGGAAGTTCTCTGCAACAGGAAAATAGGCAAGGAACAGCTGCTGGAACATGGGGCTTTCAGCCTCCTCACTGCCATCTGCAGAAAACCCCTGGCTGCAGTTTCCAGCCCCTGAGCACAGACACAGCTCGGGGAAGCTGCTCCATCTCCTGGTTCAGGTCCCTGTTGCTGCCTCAGGCTGCAGCTGGAGCTGTTCCGCCTGATTTTCGCTGGAATGTACTTGCTGGAGGAGGGGGAGTCCATTTGCCAGGACACCAAGCTGTGTCCGTGCAGAGCCCGAGTGCTCTGAGCCCGGGCGAGAGCCCGAGCGGCGCCAGCGCAGGGTTCAGACCGGGGCGGAGCTGTGGGCGATGGAGAGAGAGGAGAGGAGAGAAAAGGAGGGGGCACAGTGAGAGCACAGAGCCGGGGCTCAGGGGCACAGCGAGGCTCGGCCGGCGGAGCGGCGGCATGCGGCGGTGTCGGGGCGCGGGGCTGGCGGCGCTGGCCGCGCTGCTCATCGGTGCGTGGGGCTGGCGGCCGAGGGGTCGCGGTCTGGGCTGGGGTGATCCCGCAGGTCCCCGGAGGCTGCCGTCCTGCCTGGCTTCTTCACACACCTTTTATTGAGAGCTGTTCTCCCTTTCATTCCTCCCTCTTCTCTATCCCATACTCCTGCATAAATCTCTAGGTCCTTTTCTCTACCTAACTCAGCTCAAGCATTCTTTCTTTATTATATACAAAGTCAGTCCTTAGCTTTTGTTCCTTTCCTTCTTGCCTTTTTCTGCTTCCTTCCACATCATCCCATTCTATTGCTACTGCTCCGATCCTTATGACATTAATGAATTTATCTCTCCACAAACGATTCGTGGACACTTCCATTCCTACATGTCTTCTTCACATCCTCTGGGAACTGTTTTCCACCTCATCTCTGTGATCCTGACTGCTTCTGTGGGCTTTGTTCTGGGCATTGGCAGGCAGAACTGGGTACAAAGAAGGAGTTGAGGTTTGTTGTTTTTTCTCCCTAGCAGTGGCTGTAGTCAGAGCCCAAGTGGAGCAGGAGCCATTTCTGGAGACCACCGAGGGCACCAGCATCACCATCAAGTGCTCACACCCCAATATCCGGAAAGGCCTTTTCATCTACTTCTACCGTCAGCTGCCGGGCCAAGGGCCCGAATTTCTGGCAATGAGTACCAAAGCGTCCAAGGAAGTGCGATCGCCTGAAGGGCGCCTGTCGGTGTCGGCAGATCGGCGATCCAGCGCGCTGTGGCTCGGCCGGCCCCGGCGCGGGGACGCGGCCGTGTATTACTGCGCGCTGGGGGCCACGGGCAGAGGAGCCGGGGCTGCGGCCGGGCACGAACCGCCGCGGGCGGGGCCGGCCGGGGCCAGCAGGGGGCGCTGCCGCTCCGCCC